AATATTCATGTTGACGCAGTCCACGGGACTTCCTCCCTCGTTTCGGGTGAAAACGTGTATCTTTCGTCCATCATATGATGGACATCGTCAGAGCTGGGTGTCATTCTTGTAAAAGTCAAATCTTAACACTAGGCTAACAACCGGCTGCAATACAACGAGTTTCATCCGTCCTCATGGGGTGAGATCGACCAACGAATCTCTTCTTCATGCACTTTCATACGAAATTAAGGTCCCTCTAACAATCCGAAACTTGCTCACAAATGAAAAATAAGTAATGAAGTCTATTGCTATAGCAAATACAACTTTGCTTCATCGACAATCCTAGTACAGAAAGTGATATGGGGAAATACCTAGACCTCCTTGAAGTGCACATCTGCCCTGTGAACCAAGGGTACTCGTGGCAATATGGCCTAATGTTTAACGTGTCGAAAGTTTACACTATATTTTAATGGTTCGAGTCCCCCGGGGGGTTCTGGTGAGACCTAGACGAGATTGAAACTGCAGTACACCCTAGATGAGAATATCTTTTGGGAAATCAAGGCTATACGAAATCCAATGGAATCCTAAGGTCTACCCATGTAATTGTGGATAAATTCAACTACCCTTATCATCCTAAACGTAAAAGGGTGAATACGTCTCACATAGTTTTTCTTAAGAATGTATTTTAAAACGTAATTTAAAAGAAAATGCATTACTCTTTGCTTCTTTTCAAATAGTGAAAAGCATGATGAGTCCCCGTAGCACCAAGCAACTAATAATAAACATTTATTCGTAGAAGAGCACCGTCTGACAACTTGGGAGTCTGAGCGTCACACTGTATGACCTGTTTCTTAAACCCCTTTAGGAGGAGACCCTTTGACAGACAGGAAAAACGGTTACTAATAAGAGAGTCACTCAGGGTAGGGTTTGGTGAAGCTTTCTTCATAACAAACAATCCATGTTCCCGGAATTCCATAAGCAGAGGGAAGTTAGGATGTATTGTCAAATACCTGGTCCCATAAACGCAAATACATAAACATATCTCCATGTAAGTAACTGTCGGAAAGGATGTGAGGACTAACGTTCATGAGGTCTAGGAGGGATGTCAAATTTCCCGAATTTATCGTTCATTTCTGCTTGAGCCGCTTCCTCAGCTTGACGGGTCCAGTTGATTGCGTTGACCGGCCATTCAGTAATACTTAATTCACCATCGGCATTAAAAGAGCCGTCTGGCATAAGCATGAGAAGAACATCTTCGTGTCGGCCAGCAGCCATGGGGTGAGACGAATGATCGGTCGCTTTGACTTCAGGTGGAAAGGTAACAGGCGGAGGGAGTCGGAATGGAGAAGACAGAGGTGCTGATGGATGTTTGAGTCTTGCTGTTGCTGAATAGACAAGAGTAGTATTGGTCGTGGCCAGCTCGGATAGCACATCCGGTAGGCTGCAGACACAGAACTGCAGCAGTTCTGACTCTCCAGTCGGTTCGGTTAGACCGAGACTGCTGACAGTGGCCGCGACACCGGACTGATGCGACAACGAGCAGCTGGCCAGGGAGCCGGAGGGAGAGACACGGCTACCACTTGCAAGGCTTGCAGTACACTCGGCACAGGATATGCTCTCAATGAAAGACAGTCGGTCTCTTTCCTCTCTAGCGTCGTCCTCTCCAGCATTATGCTCTGGACGACAATCTCTGCTGCCGACCAGCATTTTGCCCATAGTACCATTTTCACTGTCCCTACAGTGCGGGTCTGACTTGTATGGATCCTGTGATGCATCGAGCGGATGTAAGTAGGTGTCTGAAGAGGTGAAAAAAATAAAGATAAAGTGCTGACGATGAAAGATCGCTGCAAACAACGCCAAGTAGCAGTCAAAAACTCATTTTGCACTATGCCTAACATAAAATGCTAAAAGTTCTAGTCATTCTAGGCCGCATAAGGTGATTAAGGACTGATAGTTGGATTTCCCCCTAACTCATATAAGTAGGCCTCATGTTTCCATTGGATTCCTCCGTGCCTCACAAAATGTATTCTCATCAAGAGCGAAATTCGGCTGGGTCCCATCAGCATCTTCAACGAGAATCAAATCCGAGAAGTGCGACCAAGCCACATTGCTGAAGAGCAGACGTAGTGTTTAAGGCTTACCAGGCTTCTCGCACATCCTATTTTGTACTAAAATTATCGACGAAGCAAACTTGTATTTGTTATTATAAACTACTACATTAATTATATTCCGATTAAGAGGCCACGTAGCTACCAGTAGATTTTATTTAGCCATACTACTAAAAGTTTAAAGACTTATTTGATCTGTTAGAAAGTTTATGCAGGAAAGCGTAACAAGCAAAAATTGTAAATTAAACAAATTCCATATTTTTATATACGAATGAAAAATATGGTTTCGACGAATGTTCGTAGATAATATAATTGTGGAGACTTTCATTTCGTAAGAAAATGCATGAAGAGATCAGAAGACGACGGCTAATTCCCGTTGTACTGCAGCCGATTTGAGTTAATACGGCGTTCAGTCTGACGCAATCAATAAGGCATCTTCCCTCGTTTTCGGTGAAAATGAGCTGAGCTTTAATCGGCATATTAAAAAATCATCAGAGCTGGGACGCATTCTTACAAGAGTTTTAAGTTAACGCTAAGTCGAGGGGTCTTCTGAAAGCTCATCCCATTTTTAGCCGAAACGAGGTAACGTCGTATTCAGTTGTTGAGCACATTTCCATTTAGAGTAAAAGTGTTTGGTGAAGAGATTTGAAGTTCGATGTCGCTTGAAGATCGACGGCGAGTTCCTCTTTAACAGCTGCCGATTGGCTTTTACTGGAGCATGTTTATGGACGATGTTTCTGAGGTAATCTCCTCAGATTCCGATAAAAACGTGCTACGCTTTCGTACGTTTTCTCGAATCGTTAGCTTAAATATGGTTATAAGAATGATACGCTGCACTGATGATGACCGTCATATGACAAACGAAAGGTTAGAGCATTTTCACCGGAATCGAATCAGATTGCCTCGGAAACATCGTCAACAAGAATGTATCAGTAAGGACAATCGACAACTGGCCAAGAGAAATCCGTCATCGTTTTCTGGTGAGATAGACCTTCGAAGCTCTTCAAAATTCACTTGTATACGTAATGAAAGTCTCCACAAAATATTTTTTCCACAAATATATTTAAGCGAAGTAAAAGAGTATTTTCTATTATAAGAAGGTCTTCGAGATAGCCAATATAACTGATCTCAGAGTTGTATTCACCCTATTTCGTAGGACTTCGTTCACTTTTATCCTGCTACCATAGTTAACTCGTAGTAGTGTGGCATCGTAGTTAAGACGTCGAGAATATACGCTGTAATACCACAATACGGTTTCGAGCCCCGTTGAGGGTACTGATTAGACCTAGGTGAGGTCAAAATTGCAGTCAACTCTTGTTTGGATTTAAATAACTTTTGGAGCAAAAGGCAGTATATAGTAAAATTGAAACGTGAAAGCCATCCATATCCTTGTTCTAAATTTAAATTTGGATATAACAATTAGTTCAAGAAAATCATTCATATCT